GCAGAGAGGACCGTTCCAGGGTCCGGGTCCCGGGTTAGGCAGACGGGGCGCGGCCAGTGGGTGAGTCTGTCTCGAACCCCCGATTGCAGTGGCTGGAGCTGCACCTTCATCAGGAGATCCCCACGTCCCTGCTCATCCTGTCTCGGGCCATGTACCTCCCCGACACCCTCTCGCCCGCCGACCAGCTCAAGTCCACGCTGCAGACGCTCCCGGAGATCGTGGTGCGTACTGCCTTCTGCGGCTCACTCTGGAAGGGGCCCTCTCGCTTCTGGGGGGAGCAGCTGCAGAAAAGGCCCCCTCCTCGGCCAGGGCAGCCCTTGGATCCACCCTCCCTGCTTCTCTCTCGTCTCATCTTTTCTCTGAACGTCGAGGACTCCGGTGGTGTGTGCAGAGGGTGACCCTTGGCCGCCTGGTGGCCTTTGCCCGCAGCTGGGGTCCCCGCGGTGCGATCCATTCCCCTTGGAAGCCCGGACGGCGGCCCCTCTGAGAAACACAGGCTGGGGGCAGGGTGCTGTGTGAGCCTCTCCGGCATCCCCCCCCTCACAGGTGTCCCCTCTCTGAAGGCGAAAGAAGCACAGGTGAAGGCGGCCGAGGTGGAGGGCGAGCAGGTGGACAACAAGGCGAAGCTGGAGGCCACCCTGCAGGAGGAGGCGGCCATCCGGCAGGAGCACCGGGAGAAGGAGCTGCGCAGACTCTCAGAGGCGGCGGTGAGCGGCCAGCAGGGCCCCTGGACCTGCCCGGAGAGGGGGGCGCATGGAGCGGGGGACAGGCCGAAGGTGGTCTTCCGGCCTTCCCGGAGACTGCTGGTGGACCGGGTCCGGGTCCCTACGGTCCGCCTCCTTTGTCCGTCCTGGAGCCATCGGGTGGCACAGCGGACGCAGGGGTGCTCGGGGCGGGGGGCTGCGGCTCTGAAGTGGGGGCAGGACCTGGCCGGCAGGTCACGTGGCCCTTGAGGTGTCCCCTCTGGAAGGTGTGGGCAGCTTCCCAGAGCTGTCAGGGCAGGGCCGAGGATGGAATCAGACTCCGTAGCCTCTTTATACAGGGGCCTTGGTTGACCTGGGAAACACCAGCGCCAGGGCCACGTCACTGCACCTGTTGGGGTCCCGCCGTGAAGCCCACAGAAGGCGCGTCACCTGCTGCTGGTTGACAGGTTCTTACAGCGCCCGCCAGCTCGGAGCAGGCCTGTCGAAAGCGCGCCCCTAGCCTGGGCCGGTGTGGACGCCTCGGGACGGCGGCCGGAGGCACTGAGCTGGCAGTGGTCTTGCATTTCAGAAGGAAGCAGAGCCGGACGTGACGGCAGAGGCCGTCCCTGGGAGGCCTGTGGCCGAGCTGCAGCCAGAAGTGTCTGAGGTGACTCTGCCGTCAGAGGCCCTGAAGGACCCCGCCCCCGTCCTGGAAGGCTCAAAGGTAACCGCGCACGCGCCCCCTCCCCTCCCCCCCCAGGGGTGGAGGCTGTGTTGGAGCTCAACCAGAGGGTGAAGGGGGGCTGGCTTCTGCAGCAGGGGCTCCTGAGGAGACGGGGCCACGGGGGTCACGGCCTGGCTTTGGACAATAGTAAGTAGCTGTGGGGCGAGGAGGTGAGGCCGCAGGTTGGCGATGTTTCTGGGAGGCCGAGTGTGGTGTGAGAAGAGCCAGCTGGGCTCCAGGCTTTGGGCCTGAGCACCTGGAAGGTCGAGGCATCCATTACTTAGCACCCCCTCCTCCCAGCCCTCTGTACC